GCTAGAGAATCTGAAACTAATGTTAAATCAATTGCTGACATTGTATTATCTCTAAAATTAATTCTAGTTCCACTCCCATCATTCAAACATACCAAGTTTGTAGCATCCATTATTTCTTCTATTATAGCTCCATTTTGATCAATATGATTACTCCATAATGAGTTATGCCCATTAAAGTCCCCACACCAAATCACCTTACCCTCTAAATATGTCCCAAGTTCCTCCAGTCTAATGTAAGTTTTTTTACATGGATTATAAAAATTTATTATTTTAAATTGTCCATTTATTGTCCAGATTTCAATAACAATATATTCTAACTCTCTTCCTTTAAATTGAATCCCGTGTTTAATGAATGTTATACACCATCCTCCAGATCCTCCTCTCTGTCTCTTCTAATGTTTTCATATCCATTTATAACAAAATCAAGGTTTGGTTTAAGCCAAGTTTCCTGAATGCATATAATATCTATATCTTCTTTGAATTCTTTGATAAATCCGTTAAACTCCTGCCCATTTGATATTAGACTTCCAGCGTTCCACTGTAAGATGATCAGTTTGTTCTGTCTTCTGGTCCTCCTGTCTTCCCTTCTGCTCCCAGTCTCTTATTTATGTGCTCCCAGTCTCTTATTTATGTGCTCCCAGTCTCTTATTTATGTGCTCCCAGTCTCTTATTTACGTGCTCCCAGTCTCTTATTTATGTGCTCCCAGTATATATCCTTTATACCAAAAAACCTCTCTGCCCCTTTCACAATTATTTTGATTTTTTCTGTTTTGTGTTTTACTTGCTCTGTACAATTAATTCCATATCCAATGAACAACATGATCTTTTCAACTGTCAGTTCTGTGTCAGGTCCAGTCTGCCTTTGTTCTGGTGTTGCTTTTGGCTGAACTTTACCTGGCACCTCTTTTGGCTTCTTCACTCTCTGAACAGCTTATTATTAGTGACTTTGACTTGTTCAATTTCCACTGCTCTTTTCCTAATTTCACAGCCTCAATAAGTGACTCTGTGTTGTCCTCCACAGTTACAACAAGTATCCTTTCCATTTTTACACTCCTCATATCTATGTTCCCCTCCACACTTTGGACATCTTTGTTTCCCCCTACATGCTGCTGCGATATGTCCGTACCTCTGGATTTATAACACCTGAGAGGAGGAGGGATGTACGGCCTAACAGGGAAGCACATACATCCTACTTTGATCCTTTCAGGGAGAACAGCTGCTTGAAACTCCAACATCACTGACACACTTTCCTTTCTTTCACCTTCAACTGTTCTCATCAATCTTCTAATTTTGCTGACTTCACCTCCATAAATGCTGTGTCTAAATTTCTCCAGATCTTCTCCCACCAGAATACCTGTTATCACTCCTCTAGCTACCTTAGTCTCTCCCAACATCTTGATCTCACTCACTACTTTTTTACAGATACTCTGAGTTTTCATCACTTTGTTTTTCTGCTCTTCATTCCTCACTGTTAACAACAGGTTCCCGTCTCTAAGAGTTTTAGCAAGTGTCAGCTCTCCAAACTTCCTCTTTAATTATTTTGACAGCACTAACGGACTTAATTGAATTCCTTCATCCTCCTTTCTAAACTTTATGATCAATTTGGATTCTTCCCTAACAACCCTCTTACTAACCACATTGTTTTCCTCTGAACTGTTTTCTTCTAGACTCCTTTTATTACTTTGCAAAGTGTCTTCCTTTCTATTTCTCTCTCTTCCTGACACTTTACCTCCACGCACCTGTGTCCACTCACCTGACTCCATCTCATCATCCCCTTCACTCTCACCTTGAGACGTCATAGCAGTCCAGTCACAAACCAGTTTTATGCCAACCGCCCAAGACTATGGTGTTGATTCACTGAGTCCAGCCCTGAGTGTCCGCTTGCTAAAGGCTCGGATGCTGGACATTTATTCACTGTGAGGCTTTCAATAATCTGGCACTGAGTAGAGTGACTGTGGAGTTGAAGTAAAGGGAAAAACAGGTGAGCTGCATGAGGGCTGATTGCAGTGACTCAGCAGAGTGGGTGTGGTTAAGTGAGGTGCAGGTTGACAGGAGATGAGATGAAACATGAACTATGGCAGGCAAAGCAAAAAACGTGACATGCTCAACCTGTTTTGTATTTGTAATTATTTTTTCTATCCTTAACATGTTTTTTTTTTTTGTTTGTTTTTGTTTTTTTTGTCTTTCAGGTACACCTTGACCTGGACCTATACCTTGACCTGGACCTATACCTGGACCTATACCTGGACATGGACCTATACCTGGACCTACCATTCTGTGTTCGTCTGTCTCTCCTTCCTGTCCTCTCAACCAGCCGGTCAAAGCAGATGGTCTCTGGTCCTGATCCTGGTTCTGCTGGAGGTTTCTTCCTGTTAAAGGGAGTTTTTCTTCCCACTGTCTCCACTGTGCTTCCTCAGGATGGGAGACTGCAACGAAGCCAAGATTCAACTTGTCTGCTGGATTCCTTAGATAGAGAACTTTACTAATTGGATTTTATGTGAATGTTCCTGTAAAGTCCCTGAGACAAGTTTGTTGTGATTTGGCGCTATAGAAATAAACTGAATTGAATTGAATTTGACTATTCTTTATCAGCATTTTGTCTAGCATTGTTAGGGTGGGTTTTGACAGCTGATTATTTTGTCTATTTGATATAAAGTTCCTAAGTTGGAGGTATCTAAAAAAATATTTTTATTTAGGTGGAATTTATTTTGAAGCTCATTAGTACATCTGAGTCAGGTAAATAAAGATCTTGAATTTTTTCAATACCCTTATTGTACCATAGTTTAAAGACCACATCATCTCTACCGGGTATGAACATTTGGTTGCCACAGATTGGACTGTATTGAGATAAATTGTGTGTATCATGTGGGAATTTTTAAATATCTCTCCATACCCTAATCATATTTTTAAAAATTGGGATTTTGGTGGGGTTTTTTTCTAATTTTTTTTATCGAGGTTGAATACAAGTATGAAGGAAATGTTAACTGTAATCCTTGAGTTTCCATGACTACCCATTGTGGGAGTTAAAGGAGTAATAAAATGTTATAGCTCTCAGTTGTGTAGCCCAATAGTATAGCTGAAAGTCTGGGCATCTTACACCTCCATGGTCGTGTGGCAAGTATATTAGAGTTAATCTGAGTCTGGATCTTTTATTATTCCAAAAAAATTGTATTAACATCTTCCTGAATTGCAGAAACATCCCAGTAGGGGGTGAGAGGGGAACATTCTGGAACACAGAGAAAGTTAGGTAGTATGTTCATTTTAATTATATTTATCCTCCATATCATGGATGTAGTTAAGGGCATCCATCTTTCAATGAAGTTGTTTGCTTCCTTTATAATATAATTTGTTTCAACATATTATCTGAGATCTGGTAGAATTTGTATTCGCATGTACTCAAATTGTGTTACTACATTGAATTGTAACATCTCTGGGATTGGAGTCATTTTATCAACTGCATTGAGTAGTAAAATTGAGGATTTTTTCTTGTTGATTTTATATCCCGATAACTCACTGCATGATGCAGTTATATCAAGTATATATTGCAAAGCTTTGTGCAGCTTTGAAACAAACAAAATATTATCAGCGAATAACAATATTCTAGTGCATAGAACCAGCACTTACAACACAATGAGCTGTTGGGGAGGTGATGACTGGAGACTGGTTATGTAGCAAACTGAGGGAAAAATAAGTGGGAACACCTGGACTGATTGCACATGGAGAACAGATGAGGATGGAAGACTAACTGAACAAACACAGGGGATGCTGACTGGGGGTAGCAGAGAAATGGTACAAGTACCACTGGGAAACAAAACAAGACCTAAACCAGGATATTAAAACAGAACTTAATGAAATACAAAAACACAAAAATCTAAACTGAAAAGGAAAACACAACCAAACCCAAAGGACAAAAATAAAACATAAAACACAAAGGGAATAATAATGTGAACTAAAGGAAATAAATCACAGAAAACACAGATAAAACAAGGGGTTCCCTATAAACTGCACCTCTGTAATCCAAGATTACACCATATTTGGCTACAAGAAAATCGCTTGACGATTACTGTAAGAAAAAAATACGTACGTATTTTTCCTCACCTAGAAGACATTTCAATATATCAAATCCTCTTACTTTCTTGAACAAACCCCTTTCTATTGTCACTACTTATAAATATCTGGGAATTATCTTAGACTCTCATTGAACTTATCATGACCACATGCAATCTTTATGTACCAAGCTGAAACAAAAAATGTATGTTTACTCCAAAATTAGATCAAATTTGACATTTTCTGTTTCAAACACGTATCTTCATGCCATAATACTTTCAACTATGTCATACTGTTTACCGGTCTGGTCTCTTACTACTACTGAAGTCTTGAAACCCATAGCTAGGCTCTACAGTTGGGCCTACAAAATTCAGAACAAACTTCCCGGCTGGACTCATCACTGTACAGCTCTTTCTTCTTCAAATGCTCTAACTTTTCAAAATGATGTTCTACACAGCTGTATTAAATTGTATTTTCAGGTTTTTCATGATGTCAGTAATGTAGCTCTTTCTACTTTGATGCCTAAAACCAATAATGGACATGGTCGCTCGACTAGAGCTGCTACAAGCGGACACTTACCAATACCAGCCTTTAAAAACTGTTATGGCCAGAGATCATTTTTCTATGTTTCTACTAAAGCATGGACTGACATTCCACAACATATAAAGTCCATCTCAACATTCCCACTTTTTAAGAAGACTCGTGTGTCATCTGTTGAGCAACTTCTTTTGCAATCACCGTTAGGTGTCTGCCATATTAATGCTGCCATTCTTGTATTTTGTAATGTGGTATGTCTGTGTGTCTGTTAATGTGATGTGATGCTGGATATCTGTGTGTTTTTTATGTTCTGCAGAACAGGAACCTGCTGTAAAACACTAAAAATGCTGAGCCAGGCCCAATTTCTTTTAATCTTTTCCTGTTTAAAAATTTAAATAAATAAATAAAAGTCTCACCTGTAGTCCCAGAAGGATACACAGGTACCAAGGTGGGACATCTTCTATTGTATACAGCATGTCTAGCCCTGCCTGTTCTTTTTCATTTGTTTCATCTGTTGCTGTGGATCTTCCTGTTTGTAAATCTGTCTTGTCCAACTTGTGGCTCCACCCATCTTCCAGGTAATCATTAGTCTGTTTGAACAGAGACAGGAACAGCTAGTCATCCAGGTGTATCAGTGAAAACACAGACAAAAAAAAGAAACAAGAGAAGTTGATACAAGACAGCCAAATATAAAAAAATAACTGCTCAAACCCCCCAAACAGATAGTTACTCAAAGAAACACAAGTCGTGGGGGGGGTCCAGGGGGACGTGCTCACAAGAAGAGAACCTGACAAGTTGTTTAGTGACATAAAATATGGTTTGTTAGCCTGATGCATGCTCAATAATCCAGGTAGAAAAATCTAAAAAAGTTCAATCTGGTCCTCTGGACATTCAAAAAAAACACAAAACAAAGCAAATCAACAAAAAAATGTAGAAACGTTTCGTCTCTCATCCGAGAGACTTCCTCAGTCTGAGGTGCTGTATTCAGCTCAGTCTCTTAAATAGCACCTTCTCAGAGTGGATCAACCAGTTTGCTGCTGACAACCAAAACCAGCTGATCACATGCTCAAGAAGGACCATCAGCCTAACAATGGATCATTAGCACACTGATGGCTGTTTACTGTTCACAGAGGGCTGAGTGATACTAGCAATCACAGCATTGTAAGAGGGGGACAGTTGAACCCGGAGGCCTCCACCCCTGTTTAACGATGGACGATTTCTTTTCACAAAGATGGCCTCCTTTACTCCTCTCTCAAACCATCGTTCCTCTCTGTCCAGGATGTGAACATCTTCATCCCTAAAAGAGTGACCGCTGGCCTGGAGATGAGTGTAGACCGCAGAGTCCTGGCCTGATGATATTGATCTTCTGTACTGGGCCATCCTTTTGGCCAGTGGCTGTTTTGTTTCCCCGATGTAAG